GGGACTAGGAAAGCACCCTACCCCCTGCCCACTGCCCCGTGGGGCTCTGACTGCACCCCTGTTTTGCGGTCCTTGAGGAGGCTCTCCAGCCAGCAGCATCAGAGGGATGCCTGGATGCTGAGCCCCGTCCTGGGGCCCTGCCCAGGGATGCTGGCTCCCTTCAGCCTTCACCCCTGGGGACCCACACCCCCCTGCCCCACTCCTTCTTCTTGCACTGGGATGGATGGATGGGTGGGTGGATGGCCATGGTAGCCAAGACCGGTCCCTCCCACACAGTGACAGGCAATCACTCCCATTATCCCCTGGTGCCCCCCCATTTCCCTGGCGGTACCTGTAGCCCTCCGTGCAGAGGCAGGAGTACCCGTTCACCTCATCCAGGCAGCGGGCGTTGTTCTGGCACCGGTGGTCCTGGCAGTCGTCAAAGTCCTCGCTGCAGTTGCTCCCCACGTAGCCGGGCGCACACTCGCACCTGGGGCAGGCAGGGGGCTCACGGCCGCCCCTTCCTACCCCCCCCTGTGCCGGTGGGCGCCTGCTCCTTCTGGCACCCCCCCTCCCCATGCCCGCTTGGCCAGCTTGTGAGCTGCAGCCCCCCCAAAAGCAAATCTCCCCTACCAGGCAGCCAGGAGAAAGAGGTTTGTGGAGGGGGGGCTCACCTGGGACCCTGACTGGTGGAGACGCAGGTGGAGCCATGCTGGCATGGGCTGAGCTCGGCCGAGCAGAAATCTGGTGGCTGCTCACAGAAATCCCCTGCAGGGCAGAAGAGGGGGTGGCAGGGGGTCCCCAGCAGCTCCAGGAGCGGAGGGGCAGCCCCAGACCCCACAGGGCAGGGGGAGCCCATGGGGGGCTCAGCTCAAGGCAGGGAGCTGCCGAGCCCACAGCTCACACCTCCACGGGCACAGGGCTCTGCCCTGCCAGAGGCAGCTCTTGCCCCAGCCGGGTAGCAAGGGCACCCCAGGGTATGGGGGTTCCACTGGGCATACCCAAACTTGATGCCCCCTGTCAGGCCCGCGAGGTTTGGGGCTGGCTAGCCCCCGTGCTGGGTACCTGCGTAGAGGGCAGGGCACAGGCAGGTGTAGTTGGTGGCACCAGGAACGCAGGAGCCCCCGTTCTTGCAGCCGTGGTCCTTGCAGGGGTCGCTGGCCGTGCGGCAGCTCAGGCCCTCGAAGCCCGCCGGGCACAGGCACCTGTGAGAAAGGGAGCGTTTCGGGGTGGTTCCCCCAAAAACACCACCACAGGATCTTTGCAGGGGAGCATACATGCATGCAGAGAGGCTCGGGGGAGTGGGGTTTGGTGTCCCCCTGCCGAACACAGGCGCAGGGGAGGGTGCCAGGGCGCAGCCCCATGCAGAGCGCATGGCGAGGATGCTGAGTTGCCACGACAACGGGCTGAGAGGGCGCCGCGGGTCGGGGAAGCGAGGGTTGCACGGGGGCACAGCAGCTAGGCAGGGAGCAGCTGCCCCCCCAGGGCCACATCGTGCTCCATCCCAGAGTCAGCCCCGCTGCAGCAGCCAGATCCCAGCCCCAAATCCTGCTGTCCTTTGCCTCCCCATACCTCCCATGGTGGTGGTGGGACCCCCTCTTCCCCCCATGGCCTCAGCCCAGGAGCCTGCAGGGCTGGGGGGCATGGGGAAGCAGAGCCAGCGCTCAGCCCTGCTGGTGCTGTGCTGGGCACGGCTGCAGAGAGCAGGCAGGGTGGGATGGAGCTGCCAGGTGAACACAATATCCCAGCTACGTGCCCAAGGGAGCATGCAGGAGGGGAAGGAAGCATCGGACTTTATCTCCATGGGATGCCGGGGCGCCACGCTGCTGCCCAAACACCCATCTTTTGTGGGTCCTTGTCCAGCACTCACCTGAACCCGGCTCCTTCCCCCTCCTGAGGCTGGCAGGGCCCCCCATTGGCACAGGGGGTGGAGGAGCAGCCGCTGAGTGCCACCTCGCAGTCCCTGCCCTGGGAAAAGAGGGAGAGTGGGAGCGAGGAGGGTGCCACAGCACCGTGCCCAGAAATCCCTGCCCCATCCCACTTGGCAAGGCACTGCCACGTGCAGAGAAGGGGGGCAGTCCTGCAGGCAGCGAGCCCCAGGGGCATGGCAGAGCCCCCCGCGCCGCTCCCTTCCCCTCTGCAGGGACTCGTCCCCCTGCACTGGGGACCCCCGGCACCAGCGTACCTTGTAGCCGCTGGGGCAGGCGCAGCGGTAGAAGCCAAGGGGGTCGTTGTTGCAGGTGCCCTGGTTCTGGCAGGGGCTGGAGAGGCAGGGGTTGCACTTGGCCTGGACACTCAGGGAGGGTGGGCCTGCAGGACGGGAGGTGCGGACATGACCCTCAGTGCGGGGAGAGATGGGGAGGTGTCCATCTGCGGGCACCCACAGAGCCTGCCCCGCCGAGGGGCTGTGCGCAAGGCAACGGGACAGCCACGTGCTTGCTCGGTCACCAGGGACATGCCACCAGTCAGGTACGGGGACATCCAGCACCCCAGTCCCCCTCCTCCACAAGGCAGCTCAACAGATGCAATGCTGGAGTCTCCCAGACTCAGCATCGCTCTGCCGGGTGCAGGGCAGGAGGCAGCTCGATGCCCCGTGACGCCTACTGCCCTGCCTGAGGAGGGCATGGATGGACAGACGGACAACGCGGGCACCTCTCACCTTGGCACTCAAACTTCTTGGCGGGGGTGGTGAGCAGCAGCTTGCCTTCCATGTCAGGGGGCCCAGCGCAGCGGGCGATGCCTGGCTCCTTGTACCCTGTCTTGACCCAGCTGGAGAGCCAGCGCAGGTTGCAGCTGCAGTACAGGGGGTTGGCCCCGATGGCTCTGCAGGGGCAGGAAAGCCAAAACTGCACCCACTGCCCTCAGCAGGGAACTGGGCCCAGAGACCCGGGGACGGGACGGGACAGGACTACGGTCGCTTGGCTGGGCTTCCATGGGAGGGGGGGACCCGGCGCTCCTCCGTTTCCAGACCAAGCAGAGATACTGCCCGCAGCGGGAGGACTGGGGCGCACGCTCAGCCCCGCACTGCTGCCCAGTTGGATGAACCTCCCACCAGCCCCACAGCCCACGCAGCACCCCGTGGCTCCGTGCTGGGGCTCTCCTCTGGCTGCCCGCACAGGAATCCTTGGGGGTCCCTCTCCAGCACTCGGACAAAGCTGCCTAGGCCCAGTACAACCCAGGCAAAGCACCTTGAGGCTGTGCAGAAGTAACAGGACCATTGCACGGGAGCTGCAGGGCCAGCCTGGGCTCTGCTGCACAAGCTGCAGGGCAGGGACACACGGGCAGGCTGCTGGGGACAAGCAGCAGGTCACAGCTAGAGCTCATGGGGACAGCACCAGGGCAGAGCAAGCAGAGAGGAGGAGGAGGAGGGAGGGTCGCTCTGCCCCACAGCAGAGCGGGGCAGGGAGCAGCGGACGGCGTGGGAGGCTGAGGTGTTGGACGCCTCTTTGCATCCTCCTTCGCGGCAAAGGTCAGCGGTGACGGAGAGCCGGTGCGGCCGACGCCTGCGACAAAGGATGGAGACGGCAGCCCAGACGGCAGGCGGTAGGGACAGCAGATCTGCCGGGGCTGACAAAGCTGGTGCTACAGCACCGACAGCGCCGGCTGGTGACACGGCTCAGTCCTGCGGGAACCGGCAGCGCCGGCTGGCAGCGGCAAAGGCAGCACCGCGCTTCAGCAAGGGAAAGCAGTGAAGAGCCAGGGAAGACCAAACCGAGCAGTGCTGCTCCCAGAAAACACAGGGAGGCCTCACTGGAAATCAAGATGCTCTCTGCAGGCTGGAGGAACAGCCTGAGACCCCCCAGGATGGCAGGAGCAGGACCAGCCACCAGCAGGGGGTGGGAATGGCTTAGCAGGGACAGGGAAGGGACCGAAAAGTCACTGTGAGCAAAGCTGAACCCCCACCCTGGGCGGTGGGGACAGCGCTGTGCTCCTGGGGTACAGGCTCCCTTAAAGAGGGGCTGAACCACCGCACTGGCAGGAGGATGCATGATGACAGATTTGGGGGGCTGCTGCAGGGAAGTGCCCTGGTAGGAGGCTAACGACATGCTGGCATGGGTCAGAGCAGCCCCCACCAACCCACGGCCATGCCAGCACCTTGTGTGGCTTGACCTACGTGTTAGGGGACCCCAGGGACCTGGCAGGGTAGGGGGGCACCCCACACCACCTCCAGCAAGGGCAATAGGGCCACGCCAGCAGCACTGGGAGGCTCTGCTGCATTGCCCAGACCTGGGGGCTGAGCATGGGGAGGGCAGGCACAGCACCGCACTGCCCCAAAAATTCTGGCCCAAGCACCAGCCCAGAGGAGAGGAGGCAGCTCAGCTCCCAGAGAAGCTGGGCTCAACCTCGTGGTTTTTAAAGGTCTCCTGAGCCTGCGCCCAGCCCTGCACCGGGCAGAGCGGGCAATACTCACAGGTGGGACAGGGAGGTGACATCTGCGAAGATGCCCTCAGGGAGGCTGGAGATGTCATTGCCATGGAGAGACCTGCAGAGAACAGAGGGTCCTGTGATGCCCATGGCTCTGGGGTGGGCAGCAAGGGCTGCGGCTGGCCAGGCTGCCCCCAACCCACAGGTCCAGGCATGAGTGGCAGAGCCGGACCCCACCACACTGTCACTGCCACAAATGCACCATCTGCTGCAAGAGGCTGATGTACCTCCCCTTGCTCCTCCTGCAGGCTGTGCCCTGCCTGCCTGTACCAGCAGGCACAGGGGACACGGGGACAGGGCCAGCAGCAGAGAAGGGGCCGAGCGGGGCAGTGCGCAGGGCTGCGGGCAGGTACTTACAGCAGCCGGAGGGAGCGGAGGCCCTCGAAGGCCAGCGGAGGGATGCACTGCAGGGAGTTGTAGCTGAGGATCCTGCAGAAGAGAAGGAGGTAACACGGCACCATGAGCACCACAGCGTGCTCCCCCCCAGCCACCCCCTGCTACCCCAAATGTCAGCTCCAGCTCAAACCGCAGCTTCACCCAGGCGGAGAGGGGAGACCCTGACGTCCCCAGCAACCCCTGTCTTTGGGGTCCCCTAGGAACAGCACCGCAGGGACCGCACTTACAGGGTGGTGAGCTGGCTCATGTTGGTGAAGGAGGAGTTGCTCAGGGAACTGATCTTGTTGTTGCTCAGGTCACTGGAAAAGAAGAAACCCCAGGGGTTGGAGCCAGCCAGGCCCCGTCCCCCCTCGCTGCCCCCAGCCTGCTCAGCTGCAATGGGGTGCAAACAGCAGCACCGCACGGCCTCCGAGGGAGCGGCAGGGTGCCAGCAGCAATGCCACCATCACCCCTCCACCCCGTGCCCAGCCCCAGCAGAGGCTGTGAGCACCCAGGGGCTGAGCACCGCTGCCAGCTAGCTGTGTCCCGGTGCAGAGGGGGGGCACAGAGGGCTGTTGGGGGTCCCAGCACACTGTCAGGCCCCTCCTTGGGACTGTGCACCATGGGGACAGCCCCATCCTCACCCACAGGCCCCAGCAGTGGGACCAGCTGCCTGGGCTCCTGCTCCTGGCTACTTACACAAGCTGCAGATACTTGAAGGTGGAAAGCTGCCCCGGGACCTGAGTGAACTGGTTTCCATCCAGATAGCTGCAAGGGACAACGAAAGCGCCTTGGAGTGGTGAAGAAGCAGGGACTCCTGCTCTCCACCCTCCCATTTCTCCCGCTCAGACACCCCTGTGGACTTTGGGCTGAGGATCATTTCCAGCATCACCTCCCTCTCGGCACCCAGGGTCTGTGGGGCTCTCGGGGGACCCCATGGCTGGCAGGGAGCCGGCGTGTGAGCGCATTAGCATGCCTGGGGGTCTGCGTGCGGGCCCCCGAGGGCAGTTGCACAGCAGCCTGCGTGTGCGAGCGCAGCCAGCCATGTGCTGTGTTTACACATCCGACACGAGCGTGGGTGGCCATAGCCATTCCCAAGGCATGTGTGAGAGAGAGCGGAGGATGTGGAGAGCGAAGGGGTGTGCCAGACAGCACAGGGGTGCGAGGGGGTGGTATACATATGCATGTGCACAACCAGCGCCTACGCTCCCTGCACACAGGGCTTGCATCCCAGATGGGTGCAGAGCCCAGATGCAATGAACATCACGATCCCGGCACATCCAGACCTGGCACAGCTGCCTGGGTATCTCCTGGACACCTACGTTGATGGGTGGCTGACCTCAGGCAAATTGCATCCGTGTGTGCTGGGAGGCTGCGCTGCCAAGAGCTTCCCCGCAGCCACGGGGAGAGGTGACAGCAGAGGGGCTGGGGAGCTGGCATAGGCAGGGTGGCCCTGTCCATGTCGGTGTTGGCAGGACCGCAGAGCCCTGGGCTTCATGGCTGCGTGGGGACCGCAGCTGCAGGGGGCAGCCGTCCCGCGCTGCCCCCTCCCAAGGGCCAAAGAGCAGGCCAAAGAGCATGTGCAGATGCTGCACATCACCCCTGGTAGACAGGAATCAGCAGAGAGGCTCTCCCTGAGCCCCTCACCGGGGTTGGGGCTGGACAGGGTTCCTTGGCTGAATGGGGGTCCTGCTCCCCACTACCTGGCCAGGATGGGAGTGTGGGAGGGAGCATCTCTACCCTGACACCTGCAACCCCACAGCAGAGACCCCCCCACCCAGAGCCACAAAGTCGCTGGAGGTCAAGGGGAGAGCTTGGGCACTCGCTTGCCACTCACAGCTCCGTGACGTTCTTGGGGATCCCCTTGGGCAGGGCCTTGAGGTGCTTGTTGCTGCAGCGGACAACGGTGTCGAGGCAAGTGCACTCCTGTGGGCCCTGGGGCCGGGGGAAGCAGCGGGGC